GTGGCGGCGGCAACGTGAGCGTGTCCGCCTGCGAGCACCGCTACACCAGCACCTCGGGAGGGGCGCCGCCCCCCTACTCGCGGCTGCCTCCTGACGGCCATGAGTTCCCCAGCAGCTACGCCGAAGGCCTCCCCGACAAGCTGTCTCGCTTCGCCCGTTACTCGCGCCTGGCCATGGAGCTGGACAGCCCCACCAGCCCCGGCAGCCCCCCGCCGTCCTCCACCTCCACGCCCCGCCCGCGCTCGGCCCCGGGCACGCCCCTAGGGCCTCCGCCGCCCATCCCCCGCACCTCGTCCTCCTCCTCGAGCTCCAAGGCGTACGCGGCGGAGCGCGGCTCGGACGGCGGCAGCAAGTGGTCGCTGTACTCGGGCGGCGGCGAGGAGCGGCGGTCGCGCGAGGCCACGCCCACGCGCGGCCGCTGGCGCCGCCAGGACGAGCGCAGCGAGCGCAGCGTCCGCGACAAGATCGCCATGTTCTCGACGGACGGGCCCGACCAGCCGCACCCGAAGACGCGCAAGCTGGACAAGGCGGAGGGCGACGAGGCCACCATGAAGCGCGCCTTCACGGAGGACGACGTGCGCCTGGAGTCGTCGGGGTCGTCCTCGGGCGGCAAGGCGGGGCTGCGCGACGGCTCCCGCTCGCTCAGCAAGACCTCGGCCTTCAGCTCCATGATTAACGTGAGCACCGCCGAGCCCAAGGACGGCGCCAAGATGTCGACGGCCTCCAGCGAGGTGGACATCCGGCAGGAGCTCCCCCCCACGCCCCGCCGCGCCGACCTGCGCGACAGCAAGAGGGCCGAGAGCGACGCCTCGTCCTCCGGCGGCCTCCACGCCCGCTCGCAGAGCCTCATCGACATCGGGCGGACGTCGCTGACCAAGCGGCACAGCGTGGGCGCCTACGACCGCCCCTCCGTGTACCAGTACGGCGTGGAGAAGCCCGAGGACCGCGAGCGGCGCACGTCGCTCTCCAACCTGATCGAGCAGCGGCGGAAGAGCCTGAGCAAGCTGCGCGGCCTCGTCATCCCCGAGAGCCGCGCCAACGAGGGCCTCGAGAAGACGCCCATCGACCTCCCGAAGATCGCCAGCATCCCGCCCGCGTCCGCCCTCAAGACCATGTCGCTGCCGCGCGAGGGCCAGCGCTCGCCGCGGCTCTACAAGGCCGACTCCATCTCGAGCATCGACTCGTGCGAGTCCAACACCAGCCGACAGAGCTCGCTCAACGCCCCGCCCTGGAAGAGCGCCGCCGCCGCCCCCAGCGCCCTCCCCAAGTACTCGCCGGCCTTCAAGAGGAAGAACATCGCCGTCTTCAACAAATGTGATAACTTACCTCCCCCGAGCGGGCGCGCGCACAGCACCCGCAGCGCCTCGCCCACCAGCGACTTCTCGCAGGCCTCGCCCGTGCCGCCCGCCACCACGCCGCCCAAGAGCCTGGAGAGCATCACCACGCCCAGCTCGGAGCACGCCTTCGAGTTCTGCGAGACCAAGTACTCCAGCGACAGACACGGCTACGGCAAGCTCTCGCTCTCGCAGAAGAGCTCGCTCGACTCCAGACTCAGCCGCGCCGAGGACAGCGACAACGACTCGGCGGTGAGCTCCACGCAGTCCAGCTTCTCGCAGGGCATCTCGCCGCCGTCGTCGCCCATGCCCGAGCAGGAGGACCACGACGACCGGAGCTCCAGGGCGTACCGGTCGCGCCTCTCCCCGCAGAGCTCCTTCGACGAGCAGGACTCGGCCAGAAGAGTCCTGAAGCGCGGCAGCATCGAGGCCGAGAACAGACGGAACGTGCTCAACTCGGCGCGCTGCAGCTCGGGGCGGAGCAGCGACGAGCAGCTCACGCCTGAGATCATCCGCAAGTTCTCCTCGGAGCGGACGGAGGAGACGGACAGATTCCCCAAGCGGCTGGACACTGAGCTCCGGGAGGGGCCCAAGACGACCGGCCTGCGTCGCCAGCCGTCGTCGTCGTCCACGTCGTCGGCCGCCTCGTCGCGGCGGTCGTCGCACGACTCGTCCAGACGGAACTCGCGCGACTCGGTGATCCACGTGGCCAAGCACGACGAGGTGAAGGTGTCGGCCGAGCCCGTGTACTTCGACCAGGAGGGCGAGATGTACAAGGAGTCGCAGCTGAAGGTGGCGTACCTCAACGAGATCATGGACGACTTCGAGCAGCTGACCGAGGCCGCCAACGAGGAGGTGATCGCCGAGATCCCGATGTCAGCCTCGCGGCGCGTCGTGGAGCAGCCCGAGGCCAGCGACAGCCCGCGCGCGTCGCCCACGCGGCGCTCCGAGCGGTGGGCGGCCCTGGAGATGAAGTACGGGTCGTCCGGCGGCGGCGACGACATCGAGACCAAAATCCAGAGACTAAGAAGGACGTCGGACGCCTCGTCGCCCGAGAGGAGCAAGAAGTCGCAAGGGTTCCGCGCCCTGGCCGACAAGTGGCAGCAGCGGGCGGAGGAGGACACCTCGGCGCCGCAGCCTCAGTTGACGCGCAGAGAGAGCGGCAGCCGGATGGACCTGCCGTCGCGCCCCAACCGCCTCTACGACGAGCGCGCCGCCGCCCAGGAGCACCCGACGCGGCCCGCGCGCCTCTGCGACGAGCCCTCCGAGGGCAATGGCAGCCGGCCGGCGCGGCCGACGTCTCTCTACGCCGAGTCCAGCCTCTCCTCCTCGAGCAGCAGCAGTGCCAGTGAGGTCCGCAGCGGCAGAGTCGACATGCCTGACCGAAAGCTGTCCATGCCGGAGTACGGCAGCGGCGGCATCAAGATGCGGGAGCGCCGCGAGGGCGGCAACGGCGGCGCCCCTTCGCGCCCCACCAGCCTCATCGAGGGAGGCGACGCCTCCATGATGGACTCGCACTACCTGAGCGCCGCGCCGCTCAGCCCCGCCGCGTCCACCGACTCCCGGGAGGACCTCCTCGACACGCCGGAAGCCCTGTCGCGCACGGCCAGCAAGGAGGTGCTCGACGCCTTCTCGCGCCCGAAGACGTCGGTCTCGGGCGTGTCCCTCCCGCGCTCGGGCGCCTCCAACACCCCGAAGATGGCCGATATCATGCGAGCCTTCGAAAGGCACGACCTGGGCAAGCGAGGCGCGCCCTCCAGCGGCGCCTCCCACCCGCGCATGTCCTCCCTCGACTCCACCAACAGCGACGACGGCTCCATGGGCGCGCACTACGGCTCCGTCACATCCCTCGCGTCCGGCCAGAGGGACCAGTACGGCTCCATCACGTCCCTCGCGTCGTCCACGTCCCTCATCTCGCCGCAGGTAAGCCGTCTTGTCGAACATCCTTTAGCTTTAATGGTCGTCTGGGTCGCTTGGTTTTGTGAGTTTGTCCCGGCTGCAGGAAACGAGCTGCCTTCGCTGGAGTAACTCTGGCCTTGGACGCTCCGGCTCCGTGGCCAATGCTTTCGTTCCGAGGAGGATTTTTGTGTGTGTGTATGTGTATGCATGCATGTATGTATGTATGTATGTATGTATGTATGTATGTGTCTATCTGTCACTATCTCATGTCTGTATTCATCCGTCCGACCGTCCGTCTGTGTGTGTGTCTATGGCCGTCCGTGTCTGCCGTCGTGCAGACGTGTTGTGTCTACATTACGTCAACGATCCCTTACATCACCCCCCCCCTCTTGGTCACGCGTGCGCGGCCCGCCCATTGTTTATAATTTTTCCCAGGCTGCTGATTATCGATGCCACATCCACTTCGATCATGACGTCACCGGCGAGCACAGCTGCGAGAGGCACTTAACCGGCGGTGAATCAAGCTTTTACTCACGAATAATCAAGCTGGTTTTCCCCACGATCTATCAAGCTGACTCTACCTGCGACTCTATCAAGCTGACTCACGGCACTGGTTCTCTGGATTAAAAAAAAAAATGTCGTGGACCGGTGTTGGTCAGCCGATGAAACAGGGCCTTGTCATTAGCGCCATTACGCGTGCGACCGCGATCGTCACTCACAGTCACTCGCCTCCCCCCTCCCCCCCTCCCCCCTTTCTCTCTCTTTCCTTCCCCCTTTGCTTCTCTCTCTTCTTCCTACCCCTTCTTTCCTCGCTCCTTCGTTCCTTCAGTTTCCTTTTCCTCGCTTTTGATTCTCATCCTCCTTCCTTACCTGATTTTCTTCTTCCTTCTCTTCCGTCTCTTGGTCCTGCATCCGTTCCTTTTGGCCCTATTTCTTTCTCCCTCTTTCTCTCCCCCTCCTCCTTTTTCTTCTCCTCCTCCTCCTCCTCCTCTCATCCTCCTTACTCTCCTACTCCTCCTTCTTCTCCTTCTCCTTACTCTTCTCCTCCTCCTCCTCCTCCTCCTCCTCCTCCTCCTCCTCCTCCTCCCCTCGTCTCCGAAGATAAGTGGCCTTTTCCTCCCTCCGCCATTACGCTTGACTTTCCCGTTATAATCTCCATTTAAGTGCCTCCTCGTCTTCCTCATCCTCCTTCTTCCCTTCCTCCTCCCCCCTACTTCGCTTCCTCCTCATTCTCTCCTACTTCCTCCTCATTATTCTTTTTACTCACCTTCCCTCCTTTCTCCTTTTCATCTTCCTCTTCCTCCTTTCTCCTTTTCATCTTTCTCTTCCTCCTTCCTCCTTCCTATTCTTCTTCCTCCTCCTTGTTCCTCCTCCTCCTCCTTTTGATCGTCTGCCCCCCCCCCCCCGCCGTGTCCTCTTGCCCTTACACGCACGCACGCACGCAGGCATACATATTTATATACATGTATGTATGCCTGTGTATAGAGGTATATATATTTATATTTGTATATCTAGGTCTATCTCTCTCTCTATGTGTGGTTGCGTGCGTGTGTTTGTCTTTCGAGTTAATGGTAGTTTACTATTACAAGAGGAATTGCAGTTTCCTGTTGGTCAGATCACTCCCTTGTCCCTTTAAATGTTTTCTCCTTTTCTCCTTTTATGTGCTCTTTCTTCCTCTGCTGTTTCCTCTCTCTTTCTACCTCTTCCTCTCTCCTCTTCCTCTTTCCCTTCATTCTGGTCTTCTCCCTCTCCTCTCTTTCTGATCTT